AGGCCCAGGGCGGAGGGCCCGCCGCGGCCGACCTACCGGCGCAGCTAGGGGCTCTCGTCGGGCCCGGCGGCGCTGGTCAGGCAGAACTCCAGGCGCTGGAAGGGGCCTCGTTGCCGCGGCAAGCCCCGGCGCCGCCGCCGCAACGGCGGCCGCTCAAGGCGCTCATCTCGGCCGCGGAGGCGGCGCGCCGCAGGGCGCGGGCGTGGCTCCAGAGTTGCGTGGACAAGGGGAATGAGGCGCAGCGTTGGCTTGACGATCGCAATGGGGCGACGGCTGCAGCGGCGGCCGCAGCAGCGGAGGCGCCCGCGGCGTGGAAGGAGGAGCTCGCGGCAGAGCTCGCCAAGGCTGGCGGGCGCACCCCTGGCAGGGGCGGCCGAGGCGATGCGTCGCGCGGAGTCGGCGCGGGCTCCTCGCAGATCAAGTTTTCCCAGATCCTCAGAGCCGAATCGGTCGACGCGGTCAAGACGCGCGGGGGCCTCCTCGACTCCGCTGACCTCGAGATGGGCGTGGGGGACAAGCGGCGATGGTCGGGGCTCAATGGGGAACATCGGCAAGGAACTGCAGGTGGCCATCTTCGCAGCCATCGGGCCGACGGCAGGCAACATCTAGCACCCGCGGCGGGGAGCTCGCGAGACGCGCCAGCGCCATTCGGCGAAGCGGGCTCGGCGGGGCGAACCTGAACTTGGGGCGGCCGACCTGGCGGCGACGGGTGGGGCCCGAAGGTGCTCGCCCAGCGGCGGCGCCTCGCAGCCCGCGGCGCCCCCCGCCGCCGCCCCCGCCGCTGGGCGCGCGGCCCCGGCGAGCCCGTGGGCTACAGGCGACGCCTTGGTTAGGCCAGATGCCGGAGAGTTCGAGACAGTCAGCGACGAAGTTCGGGAGCCTTTGAAGGCCGAGATAGCTGGGCGGCAGTTTTGGCGAGTTTGAGGTCGGCTCTTTCTTCGCCAGTCCAGGGCGCGGCATTGGCTGGTCGAGCTGTCCAGCGCGGAGGTCAGGCAGCGGCTCCGTCGGGCTCTAGGACGGCCCCTTCTCCGTCAGTCCAGGGGGCGGCCTTGGTTGGTTCGCGGGGCCCCCCTCCGCCGAACTTTGCGTTTTCGGCGCCGCCCGGGGGAGGTGAGGGCCGAGCCCGTCGCGGCGCGGCGCGGTCGAGGTGATCTTAGCGCGGCGAGTGTTTGTTCGAGGTGCTGAGCCAGGCTGGCGCGGCACCGTCGAGGCGGGGCCTGCCCTCGGCGATTCGTCCCGCCAGGCTCGACGCGGGAGGGCGCTGAGGAAACCTGCCGCGAGGCGCGGCGGCGAGGCCGGCGGCTCCGAGGCCTATCCCGCGCATCCCCGGCACCGCTAACGCAGCCTGTTCAACGGCCCTATGCGGGCGAGCACTGGAGGCTGCTGGGTGGGCTGGTTGACGCGCGCAGCGGGCTGCTGGAAAGACGCGGGCCAAGGCCCAGACGGGCGGCTCGCTCGGGGCGCGCGTCCGCACTCGGGGGCCACGGCGGCGCGGGCCCAGGGCAGACCCCGAGGTGTGTGTGTGTGTGTATGTGTGTGTGTGTGTGTGTGTGTGTGTGTGTGTGCGTGCGTGCGTGCGTGCGTGCGTGCGTGCGTGCGTGCGTGCGTGTGTGTGTGTGTGTGCGTGCGTGCGTGCGTCCGTGCGTGTGTGTGTGTGTGTAGCGGGCTTGAGTTCAGGGCCGCCGACGCGCGGGCGGCCGACGCCTTTCCCGGAGCCCGGCCGCGCGCCATGGCAGCGCGCGCGCGGGTGGCCGATGCCCCGGGCGCACGCGGCCCCTCCCTGACCCCTTCGTCGCGGCCAGATGCTGGGCTCGGCCCGCGGAGGCCGCGGTCCTAGTGTTCTCGGGGCGCGCGCCCCCCCCTCGGGGCGCCCGTTGGCGTTAGCCAGGCGCAGACCTTGGGGGCGACGCCCGTGGCGCGCGTCGACCCTGCACGAGGCTGCTCGCGCTGGCCCAACAGTCTGAGTCAAGAGCACGATCGACGACGCATCGCTTCACATTTTGGGAGATGCCAGCGCCGCCAGGAAGGGGCCGGCCAGGTCCCTCCCCGCATCGCCGGGCAGGTCTCGCAGGACACAGGCCTGCCCATCGCCGCGGATAAACTGGGCCCGCCCGCCCTGGCTCACATAGATTAGGCAGCGGCAAGTTTGCTTAGAAATTGCGACTTGCCCGAATCAACCAGGTTCCAGGTAGACCGAGACCTGGGGGGTGGCGCCGCCGATGGTTTGCGACGCCGTGATTCGATCTACCAGGGCAGGTTTCGCGCTGCCCAGAAGAAGGTTTTGAAGGTCCTGGCCTTTCTGGACGCCGGCGCCCCTTCTTGCAATGAGCACTGGGGCGGGCACGTCGGCCTGAGCGGGGCCTTCTCGTGCTGCTGACCTCAAATGCGATCCGCGCGCGTGGGCAGATCCTGCAGGGCGGGCGCCGGTCGGCCTCCGCGCCGCGTTCTCTTTTTGCACAGGGCCGAGGGCTGGCCCGAAACCCTCGCCAGTGGGCTTGGGCCAAGGGCCCCGTGGCGGCCCTGACCCTTGCCTGCTTCAGGCTTGTGCCAGGCTTTTCAGCCCTTGGAAGCTCGGAGAGACCGCGGGCGAGCGGCGGGGCGTAGACGAGCCCCCCCTTGTTTTCTTGCCCCGCAGGGCCCGCCCAGACTGCGCGGGGCTCGGAGATCGGCCCAGGCCAGACGTGGCGAGGGTGCGTCTTTGGGAGACCGCTGGATGAGCGTTTGCACATCAAAAGTTCGCCGCGGAAGACGCGGGGGACGAGCCTGGTGGCATTGGGTGCCCTTGGGGGTCCAGGGGGCACCGGGCCATGAGAGGCCTGACCATGGGGTCGCACTGGCGCCGACATCGCCTGCGCCAGCACGACGAGCAGCTGTCAGAAACAAGCGTTAGCTTTGCGGCGACATTCGCGCCTTGTTTCGCGGGCGTGTTGATTGCTATGCGAGATCGGCTTGGCGCGAGGCAACTTTCCCCCTGACGCCTCAACGGCGGTCGGTCGTCTCGCCCGCTGCTCTGCACAGCTCCCGGAGAGCTTTGCTAGAGGCCTCCTTCCCGACCCGTGCCAGTTGATTTCTCGAAAGCCGCGGCATCCGTCAACGGAGATCAGGGTCGAGAGTGGGGGCGCGCAGCTCGTGTTCCAGGGGTGCCGCGTTTTTGTTGCAACGGTTCGGGTCTAGATTGCCCGTTCCCTCCCTCGGCGTGGCCAGGTGGAGCGCGGCCGCCCGTGGCCGCGAGCGTCGGCCACTGGCCGCCTGGTCCAGGCCAGTCCCCCCGAGCACGCGCCCGAATTAGGTGGCCCGAGACGGCGTGGACTACGCAGCGTTTGTGGCCTCTCGTTTCATAGGTGGCGATGTCCCTTTGCACTTGGGCTGTCGGGGCACAGTCCAGCGCTGCAAGAGCAAGCATCATGCCTGCTGGTCGGCCAATGCGAGGACCACCTGTGGCGCCGAATCTTCGTGCAAGGGGGTTGCGAGAGGCCCCCGTTCACAAAGGTGCTGGCTCATTCCCCGCAGGGGGGCATCCGCAATGGTCGGGTTTCTGAATTCGACAAAGCGGGTAGGACAGAGACGGACAGGCTTGCCGGGGCAGGCGCAGCTGTCATTCGCCGCGACAAGGCCGACATTCACTTGGCAAAAGCAATGCTGTTTCTGGCCAAGCAGATCCTGAAGTTCATCACTCGGGCCGACATTTTTTACTCGGAGGAGGGCCGCCGTGACAAGATGGGGACCCATGACCCGACGTTGGCGCCCGTGGAAGGAGATGTTGAATTCGGGAGGTACTTGGAGGAGGTTTTGGCGGAGGAGATTGTTGCTGCTTCCGCGTTCACTGCCCGTTCCCCCCAGGCGATCCGTCCCCAGCCCCATCCTCTTGGGGACACACGTGCGGCCTTCTCTCTCAGCAGGTGCCCTGGGCAGCAGGGGACCATTGCCTCGTTGATTCGTGTGCTCTCTGACGGGCCCCGCCTTTGTTGCCCTTCTCCACGTGCGGAGGGTATGCCGCCGCCTCTCCAGGTGCCAGGGGCCTCAGCTGAACGTGCCTTGGTGCCGCTGCGGCGCTTGCAGGGCCAGGCAAGCAGAAAGGCTCCTTCGCGCGGGGGGAGCACCCCACTAGAGCCCACAGAGTGGGCCCCTGGCTCACTCCTGGTTCGGCTGCTCGAGGTCTGTTCGGGGGATCCTTCGTTGGGCCAGGTACAGGCCTGCAGCACGGCAGCCGAAGGCCCGCCGAGGGCAACGAGGCACGAGTTTGGGTTCGCTGATTGTTCCTAAGCGTTCGGCCTGAACGAAGATGAGGCTCGAGGTCTGCACAGCCGCCTCAAGCAGAAGGGGCAGGGCGAATTACCCGACCTTGATTTGGGCGGCGAGCTTTCTTCCGAGGAAGCCCTGTCGCTGGCCCACAGTGCGCGGTTGGCTCAAAGCCGCGCTGTGGAAGCCAAAGAGTCCTCTGCGATGGGCTCCCCTGGGGGATTTTCTGTCTGATCGTCGGACCTCTACTTTTTGTTGCTTTCTCTTTCTCTCTCTCTCTCTCTTTCTCTCCCTCGTAGGGGCGTGCGATCTCTTCCTTCCTCCTTCCTGCCTTCCTTCCTCCATCCTCCTCGCCTCCGCGTGGCGGCGCGCACGATGGGACGGCGCGAGGGGGCGGCCTGGAAAGAGCGCGGGGGACCTCTGAGAACGCGGGGAGGTTGCCGGGAGCACTCCGGTCTTCTAAGGGTGTTTACTGAACATCTCAGGGCACCCGGGCTTTTCCAGGGAGGCCCCTGCGTTTGAAAGGCTCCTCGCTACGTCCCGTGTGTGCCCGCCGCGCATCTTCCCCAGAGAGGTCTTCGTTCCAATTCCAGGTGAGCGACGAAGGGAGAGGGCCAACTGCGCAGGCATGGCCGCGTAAGATGCGCGCGTAGCGTCGCGCGAAATCGGGCGCCCTCTTTTCGTTCACGTGGTGTGCCGCCTTGGCGGCCTGTGGGAGCCCACCTTGTAAGGTTGCCGTGCCGTGCCATGTCGCGCAAGACCCCTTTCCATTCGTCGCTCAGTGGCGCCCTCTCCCCGCCTCGGCCCCCGCTGGCAGCGCGGTCGCCCGCACGACCTGCGGTAGGACCGCCGTGCTCTCCACTGCGATGGTGCCGCCATTCTGGCCGAGGAAGCCTCGGCACGCCACCTCCCGTCGAATGGCAACCACAGATGCACCTTCCCTCCCGAGGTGGCCACGGTGGCAACTGGACCGACAGCAGGAACCACAGTGGCCCCCTCCCCGACGAATGCATCGGCACGTCTCGTCGCCATGAAGGGCGGGGGTCCTGGAGGAGACGGGGCCGAGAGGTTCTCTTCCAGGCTCTCCGGCACGCCGGCCCTCCCCGGGCCCGGGGGCCCTCCCAAAAGGGGCACGGGATGAAACACGCGTCCAGGACGGAAATCAAGCGCACAAGAGGAACAGGTCTTGTGGTTCAGGGCGCCCTTCCCTTTGGACCCCCGTCCCTCATGCCACTGGCTCCGCGTAAGAGTGACCCGTCGCCGGAGTGGCCAGAAGCGGGCCCGCCAGCATTGCGCGCTCGAGTTTGGGTTCCCCGCCCCGCATCTTTCGGAAGCTGCGCACCATGCGAAGAATCAAATTGCACAACCAGAAGCGCTGATCCGGCGGATCTCTGTGGACCCCCTCCCTAGCACGCACAGCGCGCCAGGGGCGACGTCGGCGCCGGAGGCGCCTCCAGGGGGGCACAGCGCTGACGCAAGACATCCTCCAGGACATGTGAACGTTCGTGATGCTGATTTTGATCTCTTCCTCGAGCCAGAGGTCACTCTCGCCCGAGGTCGCTCCTGCGCGCAGCCGACGCCCAGCATCCGTTGCCTGGTCCGAGGCGGGCCAGGGCCTTTTCTGGCAGCCTCCGGCCAGAGCGGCGCCCGGCGGTGGGAGCGGTGCGCGATGCAGATCTCTTCCCGCGCTCGCCGTGCTTTTTGTTTGCCCCTCCGTTCTTCGTCTTCCCTTCCCGTGCCTCCGAGGAGTGAGGAGCACGGTTGGACCAAGGCACGCTTTCGATCGAAGTCGGTTCGGGGAGGATACGTGCCCTCATGTTTTTCGTGCTATTGTTTGATGTTCTTCGGTGCATCCTGGGCAGGGTGCCCTTGGATGTTCTGTACTGTCTGGCCGGCGAAGGGTCTCATGTTCTTCAAGGATGTTTTTCAGTTCCAGATCCGACTGTACAGTCGGACCGAGATATAGTTATTTAAGCTCGAAGTCGGTTCCGGCAGTGTGCTCTGATGTTCTTCGTGTTTCTGTGGGAGGTTCTTTGGTACATCCTGGGCAGGGGGTACCCTTGGATGTTCTGTGTGCTCTGGCCGGCGACGGGTCTCATGTTCTTTCAGGGGTGTTTTTCTGTCCTTGTCGGACGTCGGACGGGGCTACGACGAGGATGAATCCGCTTCAGAGCGTTCCAGAAAGGCTCTCAGAGCGTTCTGGAACGCTCTGAGCGGGCCGCGGCGCCCGCGAAATCCTCCAGAGCCGCCGGGTCTCAGAGATTTGGGATGTATTTTTCCCCGAGTTTTATCTTCGTCGTCCAAGGGTGGCAGGCCGCAGGTCAGCGGGCGGTTGTCGTTGTTCGCCCGGTCTGGGCGGAAGATGAACATCCCCAGAGGTCGCTGGCCTGCCTGCCATTGGAGGAGTGGGGTGGTCTCTGGGCAGCGGTCGCACTTGCTCCTCCAGCCATCTCTGCTGGCCTGCTGCCCTAGCTTAGCATCAATCACGCCTTCACTCATTCACTTGCACCTGCACGTTTCTCATGCACTCGTAAATGTCGTTGCGAATTCCCTTGCGGCCTTGTCATCCGGCCTCCGTCTTCATCGCAGTGGCATATATATATATATATATATATATATATGGACACCGATGCCAGGAGCAGCAGCAGCATCCAGGAACACAACTCGCAGGAGCGGAGACAGCATTCGCAGGAGCAGGATCAGCAGAAGCAGGAGGACCACCTGCAGCGTGGGCAGGACGCGTACCAACATTCCAAGCACACCCCGGGTGCTGGCCCAGACGGCCCTCGCCCGTTTTCTATTGCCGGCTGTTCACGGTGCGCCAGGTCAGATCCAGCTGTTGGGCAACCGAGGGTTGGGCATCCGAGCGTGAATGCAGAAATGCAGTTGGAACCATGCGAATGGGGCCCATCCCATGCTGTGGTGTCGCCGCCGTCGTCCCTGTACCCAGGAGCCGCTCAGACACCAGCAGCAGTCGGTCCTCCAGTTTCCGCTCATGTCCTCGACAATACTTATCCTGTTCCTGCCGCTCCTCCGGACGTATTCCCTCCTTCCTTCCTATCCCCGCCCTGCTCGAAATTAGCGTGCCCTCCGCCTCGGCGCCCTTTTGCGGGTCGCGACGGGGCATTTTGCAGCACAGGAGGCGACGGGCAATTAGTCGCAGCCCAGCGCCAGGCGCCTTCGTCGCGCCACGGGCGTTGACTGCCATGTTCGACTGCGTTCGTCTGCACGTGCCTCTCCTCTGTCAACCGTCTCGGCCACGCGCAGAGGAGCGTAGCTGGAGGGGGGAAGGCGTCTTAGAAGCACCCCTGCTTCTTAGAAGCGGCGGGCCTTGTTTTCAGATTTCAGGCCCGCGACTTCTAGGAAGCAGCCTCCTAAGAAGCCTTCCCCCCTCCTACCCCCTTTGTGCGCGCCGCCAACCGTCGTTTCGTCCGCCGTCAGTCGTTCCGTCGCTCGTCGTTTTCTGTCCTGACTCGTGCCGCGGGGATCATCTCTTGCGCCTGCACAGTGCTTGTCCTTGGCCACGCCTCGCTCTGTCTGGACTGGAATGCCGCGCGCGATCCTTTCCAGCTGGGCAGGGAGAACGGCTTTTTTTCCCCAGGACGGCGCAGGGCTGTGGAGAGGACATTTTGCATTACGCATTACGACAGCGAGCCATTTGACCGACCCCGCACTTGCCACAGTTCTGCGGGGGCCCAGCCAGAGGAGGTTTAGTGATTCTTTAAAGATCGGCGGCGCGCCGAGGGAGGAAATGAGAGGGGGCAGGCCTTCTCAAAAAAGGCGGCGGGACTTCTCAGACGCCCCCGCGACTTCTGAAAAGGCGCCTCTGTCTCCGGGGGAGGTTCAGAAAATTGTTGACACTCGGAGTATCCCCACCACTAGCGCTGCACGTGGAACTGGTGCTCTGGGTCGCCCGCATCTGAGGCGCAGTGTAGCCCGCTCTTGCGCTCTTAGTGGGTCATGTAAGCCATTGTTACTCGGCAGTTCCCTGACGGCGCCTGGCGCCCTTGCGCGGTCGCGAACAAAAAGTATCCCCACCAATGGCACGATGCTCCTTGCTGGGGGCGGGGCGCAGCGTGCCACCACACGGCCCTGGCCGTTTGCTGTAGTTGTTATCGCCCTGGACTTCTCCCGCACCCGGCCACAGCCTGACTTGGTATCCCTGCTGAACTGGCCCCCGCCTTCGTGACGCGCTCGACTCACGCATGCCGCGCCGCTAGCACTTGGCCTGGGGCACTATCAACCTTCAGCTGCTTGCTACGCCACCCCTTTTGGCGCCGTGTGCCCCCCCCTGGCCACCGCCGCCCTGCCGCCTACCACACCCTGGTTGCGGCTTCCGGGCTTTCGCCCTCAGTCCCTGGCGTCTGTTGGTGTCCGTGCTGGTTCCTTTGAGCCTGGTGAGGTAACCCTGGCGTCCTGGTGAGTTGCACGTAGACCAACTCCAGTTAGCATGCTCGCATGTTCCTGGCCCCTGGCCCCCAGACACTGCCACAGCCTGGCCGCGTTTGCAGCTGACGCCTAGCAGTGGTGGGGTGCACCTCCACGTGGACTGCTCATGAGTGGTTTAGCCTTCTTGCTCAACCACCTGAGGTCGCCATTGTTGGCATGCGACACAGATACGCTGGGCTGTCAGCCCCGCGCTGTGGCGTGCCTGGCTCGGGTGGCTCGTTTACCTCTGGCACCTGGCGCGACAAGATGCAATTCGTTTGCCTTCCCGGTGGTCTCGCCCCTGGAACGGTTGCAGTTCAGCCGCCTGGCACACCTGGCACCTCTTGCAGCTCTGCCTCAGTCCCCGTCGTCGCTCCTCGGCGTCCCTCGGCGACGGCCTTTCGTTCGCGCGCTTAGGTAAGCAGGTTTGGCTCGTAGCCCGGGTTGGCTTCGGACGCCGCCAGCACTTCCGCTTGCGGCGGCGACGGGAAAAGTATCCCCACCAGTCCGTAGCCTGTCTCATGGCGCTCTGGCTCGAGGTTGGCCGGCGCGGCCTGGGGGGCGCAGTCTCCCCCTTGATTCGGCCAGCCTGAGGGCCCTGAGAGGGGCTTCCTCTTCCTGGCGCCCCTCCCCCAGTGCCATGTCCCCGTCTCCTGGCAGGCCGCTGACGGCGTTGCGTCGCGCTCAGCGCCAAGCGGCGACAGCGCGGCTCGCCGCCTTGGCTGCCGCCGGCGGCGGCCCCCTTGGCTTGGCTGCGGGGTTGCCCCGCCGGCCGCTGGCGGGCGCCGCTCACGTGGCGGCCGAGTCGGCCCGCGCCGCGACCGCCCGTCTGGCCGCTGCCCGCCCCCTCGCGGCTCGCGGCCCCTCGCCCCCTGCGGAGGCCGCTCAGCCGGCTGCTGCGGCCGGCGCAGGCCAGGCCGTTGGCGCTCCTGTGGCGGCCGATGCCGCGGCCGCGGCGGCTGCCCGCTCGGCCACCAGCGCCGCTGGCGCGGTGGCCGTAGCTGCTGCCGTCTCCGTGGCGGCTGGCGCGGCGGCTGCGGACGCGGCTGGCACGGCGGCTGCCGGCGCGGATGCCCTTGCGGTGGCCGCTGCGGCCAGCGCCTGCGCCGCGGCGGACGACTTCGGCATCCACGTGCTGGCGCCCGCACTCGCCGAGGACAAGCGGATGGAGCTGGCGGCTGAAATCGCCGACAGTCGTCAGTCGTCTGGCCATGATGGCGGCCGTTGGCATGTTCTTCCATCGACGGCACGGCCGACCCCGCTTGGGGCGACTGCGCGCGCTGCACGGGCTACCTGCTGCGCGCGCTCGGGGGATCGAGTTGGGCATGCGGGGCCCCGTTGGCTGGGGCCCCGCTGGCCTCGCCGCGGATGGTGGCTCGGAGAGCTTCGCCAGACGGCGCCGAACCGAGCTGGGTCACGGCCGCGTGTCCGCATGGGCGACGACGAGCTGCAGCTACGTCGCCTCAGACATCGCCGGCAGGCAGGGCCCCGCGGACGGCTGCGCGGAGGACCTCGCCGGGAGGCGCCGGACAGAGCTGAAGCACGGCCTCGCGAGCACTATGGCCACCGCGGGCTACGTCGCGCCCAACATCGCCGGCAAGCCGCCCGGTCAGCTCCTGGCTGACCTGAGGTCCGCGGGCATTTTGGGCGGTCTTGGCGCGACCTGCGCGGCCCCCGCGACGGGCCGGGCGCCGAACGTCCCGCGCGTGCCCTTGTCTCCTGCGCCGCGGGGCGGAGCGACGCGCCATCCGCTCGTCGGGCACTTCGCGCACTTTTGCACTTAGGGGCTTATAAATACAAGTGCAACCTACTTGCAACCAGCAGGCAAGTGCATTGCAACCTACTTGCAACCAGTTGCACCACTTCTATTTAGTTATAAGTCCGTCAAGACTTATAAACAGTTGCACCGCTTATATGTGGTTTGGTAGCGACTTAACATATCTCGCTATAACTGTTCAGGTGCGGCACGTAGCGCGACTTAACTTCGAACTTAACATGGGAGTTAACTCTGACTTAGCTTCGACTTAGCTTCAACTTAACTTCGACTTAACTTGAGACGTAATTTAGCCCTGAGTCAACATTTTTCCCAACCATCCTGTGGTTCTGGGTCCTCGTTTTGAAGAGACGGTGCCCCGCGTCTCCTTCCTCCTTCCGCCTCCTCCCCCCTCCCCCTCTTCCCTGCGTTTCACCCACCCAGTACAGCGTTTCGTAGCCCCATAGGGAGCTCAGCCGAAGGCCCCAGTGCTGCCGTCCGCATGCGTCCCGCACACCCATATCGGCACACCCCTCACACGGTTCGTGGCCCCATAGGGAGCTCCACCGAAGGCCCCATGGCTGCCGTCCGCATGCGTCCCGCACACCCATTTCGGCACACCCCTCACACGTTTCGTGGCCCCACAGGGAGCTCCACCGAAGGCCCCAGTGCTGCCGTCCGCATGCGTCCCGCACACCCATTTCGGCACACCCCTCACACGTTTCGTGGCCCCATAGGGAGCTCCACCGAAGGCCCCATGGCTGCCGTCCGCATGCGTCCCGCACACCCATTTCGGCACACCCCTCACACGTTTCGTGGCCCCACAGGGAGCTCCACCGAAGGCCCCAGTGCTGCCGTCCGCATGCGTCCCGCACACCCATTTCGGCACACCCCTCACACGTTTCGTGGCCCCATAGGGAGCTCCACCGAAGGCCCCATGGCTGCCGTCCGCATGCGTCCCGCACACCCATTTCGGCACACCCCTCACACGTTTCGTGGCCCCACAGGGAGCTCCACCGAAGGCCCCAGTGCTGCCGTCCGCATGCGTCCCGCACACCCATTTCGGCACACCCCTCACACGTTTCGTGGCCCCATAGGGAGCTCCACCGAAGGCCCCATGGCTGCCGTCCGCATGCGTCCCGCACACCCATTTCGGCACACCCCTCACACGTTTACCACCCCACCGACACATGCGTTTCACATAGGGAGCTCCACCGAAGGCCCCATGGCTGCCGTCCGCATGCGTCCCCACACCCATTTCGGCACACCCCTCACACGTTTCGTGGCCCCATAGGGAGCTCCACCGAAGGCCCCATGGCTGCCGTCCGCATGCGTCCCGCACACCCATTTCGGCACACCCCTCACACGTTTCGTGGCCCCACAGGGAGCTCCACCGAAGGCCCCAGTGCTGCCGTCCGCATGCGTCCCGCACACCCATTTCGGCACACCCCTCACACGTTTCGTGGCCCCATAGGGAGCTCCACCGAAGGCCCCATGGCTGCCGTCCGCATGCGTCCCGCACACCCATTTCGGCACACCCCTCACACGTTTCGTGGCCCCACAGGGAGCTCCACCGAAGGCCCCAGTGCTGCCGTCCGCATGCGTCCCGCACACCCATTTCGGCACACCCCTCACACGTTTCGTGGCCCCATAGGGAGCTCCACCGAAGGCCCCATGGCTGCCGTCCGCATGCGTCCCGCACACCCATTTCGGCACACCCCTCACACGTTTCGTGGCCCCATAGGGAGCTCCACCGAAGGCCCCAGTGCTGCCGTCCGCATGCGTCCCGCACACCCATTTCGGCACACCCCTCACACGTTTCGTGGCCCCATAGGGAGCTCCACCGAAGGCCCCAGTGCTGCATGCGTCCCGCACACCGATTTCGGCACACCCCTCACACGTTTCGTGGCCCCATAGGGAGCTCCACCGAAGGCCCCATGGCTGCCGTCCGCATGCGTTCCGCACACACATTCGGCACACCCCTCACACGTTTCGTGGCCCCACAGGGAGCTCCACCGAAGGCCCCAGTGCTGCCGTCCGCATGCGTCCCGCACACCAGGTGTGTGGCGTGCCGACATGGGCGTCGCGGCGCGCGGGCGCTGCCGTCGGGGTTCCCAGGGAAGCCCCCTGCAGAGGCGACGCTCAGAGTCACGAGTATCGAGAGTCACGCAGACCCAAACTGTTCACAGTCGTATACATACATTTACACTGGGCGTATCCATGCACGCATTCATGCGAATAGAATCAATCGCGCGCAGATTCATTCATAATCAGACTCGCTCGCGATCCGACTCGCACGCGCTCAAACTTTCATATTCGGACCTATCGTCTTCGTTCGTGTTGTGTACACTGCCACGCATTTCGGCACCCCTCATACGGCTCGTGGCCCCATAGGGAGCGCCACCGAAGAAGATATTCACAATTGCGGTACTCTCAACTGCATATGGTTGGGTCCTTCGCCAGGCTATTTTTTTGCGGGGCCCGCGGTGGACGAATCGGGGTGGGGTTGGGCAGGGTGTCAGATGTTGACGCGAGCGCAGCTAGTTTGGACCCGCGGTTCGAACGCGG